GATTTTTATTGAACAAAAATTCATTTTGATACTTTAAAAATTATTATATATTGTTCTAAACACAAAAGAGTTCAAAACAGCAAAATAAGAAAATACCGTAAATTCAAAAAAGGTTTACTGTTATCTAGTTTGGTTCAAACCTACAAAATCTTCATTGCTTTCACTGCAATTTATTTTTTTATTATTTAGGGAGCATTATAAATAGTTATGTTTTTAGAAGAAAAAAAACTACTATTGTTATAAATAACACATTCAATTGAACTAAACTATGTATGCCTATTTAAATATACTTACACACGGCTTGTGTATATCGTATATATACATATATCTTATTCATACCTTCGGATGTATAGGACGCAACAGATTTTGACATCAAATTTTGGGGTAAAAAAGTGCGTCTTGTACACCGAAAAATACGGTAAGCAGGTAAGATAAAGAGGTAATAAATTAAAACAAAGAACTCGGTATGGCAAGCGCTTTCAGAAAGAATGTCTAACTTTCGAAATCCCTCGTGTTTCTTGTTTTGTGACCTCTCTTTAGATTTATATATCTGAAGATATAATAAAAATCAATGCTTGGACATAATTAATATGAGTTCAACTTTTATGCAACCACCTCACGAGATGGAAGAGTTCGATTTATCAGTTAGTTTTAGACCAGTTTTTAATGTTAAATTAGAGAATATTAAAGTGTAGTATTCATTTAACCTTTATTGACAGAACACTTTATTGAAGAGTAAAATGGAATCTTTGACAGAGATATATACAACGTATGGTTGTTTTGGAAGCCAGCCAAAAATCAAAAACAAAAAACATTTTCCTTCATTTCTACGTAAACGTCAAACCATATTACCAGTAATAGTTTTTTAGTGTGTGTAACGTACTCAAAACTTGATCATAATATAAAAGGCTTTTATATTTTTTTCTTTCACCCAGAAAATATTCAATCTTCCAGTCTTAACACATGCGTTATCCACTCCAATATACTTCAGAAACGAATTTATGTTTCTAAAGAGCCTCAACGCCTCAGGTCAGTTTTGAATGTTCTTACAAATATTTTCTTATTATTCCATACTTTAATACGATGTGGTCATAGCCGTTAGAGCAAATTAGCCTAAATCATTAGATTTTTAAAACAAATATTAATGTAATGGTAACACGTCAATCTTATGTAAGCTGAATTGTTTACATGTTTCGTATTAGTTTTTCTACAACAGTTGTTTGCTTGACAATGTGCAAAACCTTAAATTACCACGAAAAGTTAAGAATTTGTGCTGGTTATAAAATCGGTTTTAAACATTTACAGAAATTCATTTGGTAGAACGATGACGTTTAAAACTTACCTTTTGCTAGATGTTAACATCTAAAACTTTCCATCCGCTCAATGTATAATTTAAACCTTCTATATGTTAAAATACAAAAATTTAAAACTTTTCTCTAATTATCTTCACATTCAAATCTTTCTTTTTATTCAATGGCAGTACATGAAACGTTTCTTCATTTTGATGGTTACACTTAAAACTTTTTAGCGTTAAACGGTAACACTTCAAGATTTCTTTCTTTCTAATGGTAGCATTCAAACATTCCTACCATTAAAAATCGACGTTTAAATTTTTTTAACATTAAACGGTAACATTTCAACATTTCCTTTCTTCTAAACGAAATAAACTTACACTGTGGTTTTAATGTTTACTCGCGTAATTTCTCACTTAATGATCTGGAAAAATCTCGAAATTATTTTGGCTTATTGAAACTTTAGTTCATTGTGAAAAATTTAAGTACTTTTTTTGTCTATTCGTATACACTAAAGATGTCTAGTAAAGCTATTGAAAACATGCTTTCTAAGAGTTTCTTATTGTTTACATGTGTCTAGTTGTGACGTCGAAAAGCTACTTTCTGTCTCCAACTTTTTTAGTCTACCACAGTATCAGACTCGATCTTGTCCTGTTCTTCTTAACCAGACGTCCGTCACGACTAAAACTACGTCCATTCAGACTGATTCCACAGCTACAGTGTCTCAAATTACGAACGAACCGTCTGTCTTATTAATACCCCTTCAAGAAAACCCATCTGGGACAAGAAACGCAGAATTATGTCTCGAAAATGAATCTCTTTCTCACGAATCTGATCAATACGTGTGTGACGCTAGTGACAGTGTTCCTTTTTCTCCTAACACACACTTGAATAGAAACGACAGCTTTATATTAGCTATAAAGAAGGGGAAACCTAACGGTTCGAGTCATAAAATAGCCAATAATTTTGGTTCAAATAACAATAGAAAACGAAGCAGTGAAGACTGTTGCAACATCATTTGTCCTTCTGGAAATAAACCTTTTAAGATGAACCCAAATACGAAACCTGTTCAGAAAATACCTGGTAATTCTTCAGTTGGTACAAGTTGTTATGGGTGAGTTTGCAAAGTTATCTTTATTACCTAGTTACTGGTTTAACGTACATCATTTCAATGTGTCTCATTAATATGAATAATTTCAAGTCCATTATATACAGAAATATAAGCTTATAACACTGTTTTATGCATTTATTGTTTTTTAACGACATATGTTATGTAGACATATATATACATATATATGTGTGTATATATTATATTATATGTATATATATATTATATTGTACATGAAATCATGTTTTAAAGTATTGGGCGGAAATCTTAGCCAAGTATCAACGTTAAGACTTTCATGTAAGACTTCAAAAGAAAAGCGACAATATCTTCTAGATTATCAGCTACCTAAGAATCGATGTGAGGGCCAAACAAACGTCGTTCACAGCGTGTTAAACAAAAGTGTTGGTAGAGAGCAGCTTCACCTTTATAACACCATCAATCCTGTCAGTATTTTCCGACCTTACAACAGACATATTCACACCGTTACAAACTCGTAACCATGTTTCACTGTTGTTTAGACCAGTACTACTCAACCTTTTCCAATATCGTTCACCCCTATATGTTTTTCACAACAGTTCACTCATCCCAGTTCGAAAACAGACAAAAAAGTACTAAATTAAAATGCAAAATATACATCAAACTACAACTAGAATACATACAACATTAAATAAATGTATATATCAAACTACAACTAGAATAAATAATAATAACTAATGACTTTTTCTTCTTGAATTGTTGTATAATTATAATACTCATTCACCCTCGATTCTGTATCTCATTAAATTACCCTTGGTTGGAACCA